TTTCTTTTTTTTTCCCCCTGTAACAGCTGTCTCTGGTTAAAAAAGCATTTTTATACCATCCCTAAAAAGATCAAATGAAGAGATGTTGTTAATAAAATAATCTGTGGATTTCTAAATCCACATCCTTGTTTCAGAAAATTAATGGTTTATAGAGCAAAGAGAAAACATACAAATAGATTATGTATAGTTTTTATGGCCTGCTCATTTGTAATTCATAGAATAGACTTCCTGGAGTATGTTTTCTGCTCAACCAGTGTTCTACTACTGTTTCCTTCTACCCTGACTATGTTTTTATGATGAACTTTCCCAGATGCCATCTTATATGTAATTTTTACTATGTGAATATAGTATTATTTTATAATTGCTTTCCATTAATTTTCCTAACCGACATGTGGATAGTTTCAAAACATTAAACCAGTGAGATAAGAGTTAAAGATGTATCAGTCTCAGAAAAAAACGCTAGGCCCAGATTTTTTGGTTCTGTTGTTCTCTTTGTGGAGCTCCAGACACTTCCAGGTCTTTCTATCTCCCCCTTCTTTCATAAGATTCTCTGCACTTTGACCAAATTTTGGCTATGAGTCTCAGCATCTGCTTTAATACCCTGCTGAGTAGAGCCTTTCAGAGGCCCTCTGTGGTAAGCTCCTGTCTTTTTCCTTATTTTCACCTCTTCCAATGTCTATCCCATTTGCCTTTCTGAATGAAGATTGAGCATCTTACCCAGGGTCCTCCTTGTTGCTTAACGTCTTTAGGTATACATATTTTAATATGATTACCCTATATTATGTCTAATATCCACTTTTAAGTGAGTATATACCATGAGTGTCTTTCTGCTTCTGTGTTACCTCACTCGGGATGATCTTTTCTAGTTCCCACGATTTGCCTGCAAATTTCATGATTTTCTTGTTTGTAATTGCTGAATAGTGTTCATTGTGTGAATGTACCACAATTTCTGTATCAATTCCTCAATTGAGGGACATCTGGGTTGTTTCCAGATTCTTGTTGTTATGAATATGGAGATAACCTGGACTCCCTGCACAGAGGTAGCCAGTGGCAGCTCAGTCTCTAAATGGGATCCCTAATAAGGGAGCAGGGGCTGTCTCTGGCACAAATTCAGTGGCTGGCTTTTGATCACCTCTCTCTGATGGGAGAGGAGCCTGAACAGGCCACAGAGGAAGACTATGAAAGACAGTCCTGATGAGACTTGATAGGCTAGGGTCACATGGAAGGAGAGGAGGTCCTCCACTATCATTGGACTAGAGAAGGGGCATGGGAGGAGATGATGGAGAGGGGAGGGAGGGAGGGAGGGAGGGAGGTATTGGGAGGTAAAGAAGGTGGAGCTACAACTGGGATTCAAAGTGAATAAATATAATAAGTTAAAAATTATATTAATAAAAAGTAAAAAAGAGTTAAAGATGGAACTTAGTGAAATGTTACAAAGAAATAAAACTGATAATGAAAAATTATAAAATGATAAAAATCATGCAATAATACTAAACTGAAAGTTTAGAATTTAAAAATTATAGACATTATTAATACAGTTAACATATATGTTAATAATAGAGAAGGTTAAATATTAAGAATTATTAATATGTCCAGATTTCTGAGAATCCAGATCAGTAGATTTCAAGTATGGTGATTGTTTCAAAGTATAAAAATGGTCATGGGGCCTGGTGGAGCACGCCATTGATCCAAGGACTCAGGATCAAAGGCAGGAGAATCTCTGTGAGTTCAAGGCCAGTCTGGTCTTCAAAGAGTTTTCCAGGATAGCCAAGGCTGTTAACACAGAGAAACTCCAACTCTAGAAACAAACAAACAGACAAAAATCCCAAAAATATTTTTAAAATGTCATGGAATCGTGTTATTGTTCAAAACCATTTACTGTTATTTATGAAGAATTAATTGCATCATCATCAGGTATGGAAAAGAAATGAAGACTGACTGCTGTAACCACAGCTCTTCAACTCTGATGAGGGCCTTGAAAAGCTAGTAATTTTTCTTGGCAAATGAGAGGCAACCAAATGTAGCAATATTTATGAGGAGAGAGATGCAGGTCAGATAGTGTCTTCATATATTTATTTCCAAACATTTTTTAAAGATAATTGTAAGTGATATGCCTGCCAACATCACTGAGTAGTGAGTCCACATTTAGGCATTAAAATCTTTCTCTTTTTTGTTCTCCAACTTTTCAAAATTTTAAAAACAGTAGTTGCATATAAAGGAAAATAATTTGAAATTATCTTCAGTTTTTCAAAGTAGAAAAATACTGTGAAAACATTTCCATATTATACTATTTAATTGCTTTATTTTATAGCCATTTGGCTTATCAATGATATAATCTTATTTGTCAGTTGATAATTACTATTGCCTGTTTTAGAGCCTCAGGGTGTTTTGTCAATTTGTTTTATACACACAGACTGTGGGTGAACAAGAAAATCTGTGAGGCCATCTGCAAAAATAATCGCCCTAAATTCCTGTCCTATATCCCTATTCCTACCAAAAGAAGTGACTGAATTTCATCTGCCTTCAGTTTTCTGCCTGCAAATAAAAAGGGTACTTTTCATAAGGAATGACTGAGAGAATCTAATAAAACAGTGCATATAAAATGATCAGCATGGATTTAGCATACAACAAACACTCAGTTTAGTAGTAACAATACGATTGTTTTAGTATTCATGTATACCATCCTGGAACAAGGAGTGTGGGAACATTAATGTATAGTCCATCTTTATCATCTGCCATATGATTATGTGTTTACTGTGACAGTCATGCTTCTCATTAAGTTTCTAAACAGACAAGAATAGCCATGATTTCTATAGTTAATGCCAAGACACTTTTTATAAAGCAGTCAGAAGACTACCTACATCCATTTTAAAAAATCTTGACAAAGATGGTATTTATAATAAAATCCTGTGTTGTGTTAGGTGTTTCAAAACATTTATTTGCATAATTAGATAGCTGTGTTTTCTTCTTCCATATTTACTTTTCTAATAGTCTCTTACATGAAGTCCTGTACTTTTGTAACTAATGTTTATTAAATCCTAATAATTATTGATACCCCCTTAGGATTCTCTTAGGGTATGATTATTTTTCATCTGTCAACATTTAGAATCAAATATAGCACTACTTATCTCTCATTTTTCCTTTTTGTCCCATCTGTCTTAAACCCCACTTATGATAATTTTGTATTCATTAACCTTTTTTTTTGTATCTGATCTATGAAATTCATAATATACTAGCTTATGGATAAGAACAGACCATTCAAGATTAACCATGTGGGTTGCATTTCAAATAGTCAGACCAGGAATTAAGAAGATGATTTAGAAATTATGCATCTGTGTTAATAATAACAGAGGCAATGATGAGTCTTAAAATCTTATATGGCCTTCTGAAATTCCAGTATACATGAAAACCTTATCTTCATAGGAACTTTAGTTCCTCTAACAAAGTGGCTATAATAAAAATTGCCTAAATGTGTATTAATACCATTTAGTCTATCTCAGATTAACTTGGAAAAAGTTTTGATCAGTGGGACATGTTAGAAATCCCAGGCCTGTTATAAAGCTCCATGAACTTACTAACACATTCTCAGGGGATTTAGGGCAAATATATCAGTGGACTACGGGAGGGGCATAGTAGGAGAAGAGAGAGGGAGGGTGCAATTGGGAGATGAGGGAGGAGGTGACAGCTGGAATAAAACATGAATAAATTGTAATAAAAAATTATAATTTTAAAAATTTTAAAAATATCCCCCCCCCCAAATATCTTTGAAAAACAAGAAAAGCTTATCCCCAACTGACCATTTGGACAGAGCTTTTAAAATGGATTATCACTTTCTAATAGAATAGACGATAACCAAACAATCAATTGTTATTAATCTGTATTGTATTTTGATGTTGATATTTTAAAGTTTATTTCTCAATGAAACTTAACATAATATAAATAGAGTGCTTTGTATACGAGATATTTTAGAAATGAAAAAAAACGAAGAAAATATGTTTTTTTTCTTCTTAGATGACATAATTCATGTCAGACTCAGATCCTTGATTACCAGAATGCATATTTGACCAGATTAAGAAAAAAATAGAGTTTGGATCAATCATATCACCTCCAACCACCTTATGTACTTGCTTAAAAATCTCTTACCAGTATCCACTGTTGACCATTTAATGTCTCAGATAGTGTATACATGGGCATTTGAAAGAAGCAAGTGTGTATAAAGCATCATGTAGTATACTTAAAAAATAAATAAACCTTATTTCTTTACCACTTTCTTTTAGCCTAGGGATTACTAAACTATAAAGTGGAAAGATATTTCTAATGTTTTAAGTGAAATAGGAGGAAAAAAGTGAAGGAGGAATAAGACGTATAGAAAACACTGTGCTAATGTCAGACAATGGGAGAAGAAATGTGAGAGTACCTGTTCTTGTTATACCTTCCCTGATAATCACTCAATCCCTTCTCCAATTAGAGCCCTTAATAAGGTATGGGTAGATATAACTTTTACTTTTCCTGAGAAGAAATTATTGATAAATGTTAATTTAGCATTATACTACCACAGAAATATGGTAGGCATATCTTCTTTGAAGTGTTCTTTAAAAAATGGGGTGGAGTAAAAGCCACCACAGGGATAGTTCTTGCCTAGGTTTAGAAAGTCTTGAATTCAATCCCCAGAAGAAACTTAGCATGGCAGCATGGCACATGTCTGTAATTCCAATTCTCAGGAGTTGTAGACAAGAAGATCAGGAGTAGAGGCACAAGTAGGTTATATAAGGCCTGAATGAACTACAATAACAGCAACAACAAAACAACCTAAAAAATATGTGCATACTAAAACACGAAAAATAACCTTAGGCTTTTAATGGGCCATCAGTTTTCCTTTAACCTGTACCATGTCTCAAAATGTTGTAATTTTCATTAAAATCATTAAATTTAATATATGGCATGAGTTCATTTGCTCTAACAAGAATTTTACTTTTAAAATAGATATGCTTGCCACTAACCTTGGTTTCTGTGATCTTCTTTTGGATGGCATCTACCATGTGAGGACCTTCTTTCCATGAGTCAAGCTTGGTTCTGGCTTGTCCTATGACTTGTTCAGCTCCATTCTTAGCTTCTAGCCACTGTTTTGAATCGTTTAACATTTCATTCAACTGCTGTCTCCGGTTCTGCAGGTGTTCTTGTACCTCATCCCATTGAATCTGAATTCTTTCAACTGGCATGAAAGAAAAAATAAACAACAGTGAGTACAGTTTTGTGCAGGTGATAAATATGGATCTATTTGCATTTTTCTACATGTATACATCCAGTTAGACCAGCACCATTTGTTGAACATGCTGTCTTTTTTCCATTGTATGGTTTTGGCTTCTTTGTCAAAAAAATAATTTTCTGTAGGTGTGTGGATTTATTTCTCAGTCTTAGATTAATTTCCATTGATCCACCAGTCAGCATCTATGTCAGTACCATGCCATTTTTTTTATTTTTTTCCTTCACAATTTATTCATTATATATACCTATTGAATCCCTCACCCGCAACTCTTCCTATCTCACCCTTCCTCCCTCTTCCTCTTATCTGCTTAGTCCACTGAAAGGGGGCATTCTCTACTGTAGCCATCTGCCAATAGCTTATCAAGTATCATCAGGAATGACTGAATCCTCTTCCTCTGTGGCCTGGAAAGGCGACATCACCAGGGGCCAGTGAACAAAGAATAATCAACTGAGTTATGATAGGGGCAGCTCCTGCTCACCTCTTTCAGAGATCCACATGGAGACTAAGCTGCCAATAGACCACATATGAGCAGGGAGTTTAGCTGTTCTCCATGCATGGTCTTCCTTTGGTGAATCAGTCTCTGCAGGAACACCCTGGGCTCAGTTCCTTAGTTTTGAAAATGCTTAGAAGGATGTTTAAATCTCATTCAGACTTGCAAACAGAATAGACAAGAGAAGTAGTGGAAGAGAGAAAGACTCTGGGAGCCTACTATAAGGAGTCCTCTGAAAGGAAAAACCCAATAGGGGATCTAAGCAGATGCTGAAACCCTGGGTCAAACTTTGGGCCAGGTGCAGGGAGTCTTATGGAGGAAAACAGGGGAGGGAATAGAGCAACATGGAGCAGACAGAAGACACACAAGGAGACCATTCCATTTTTATTACTGTTGCACTATAATACACCTTATGATCATGGGTGGAGAGACTTCTAGAAGATCTTTATTGTTTTAGCTATTCTGGGTTTTGTTTTGTTTTTCTTTAAAAATTGTGTTGATATTATGATGATAATTACAACAAAGGAATATTGCATGGCAGAGAAACAATTCAATAAATGTTCAGCATCCTTGGTGATCCATGAAATGCAAACCAAGACAAACCTCACACCCGACAGAATGGCTAAGACCAAAAACTCAAGTGTCAAAACATGCTGGAGAAGTTGTGGAGAGAGGGAACCCTCCTCCATTGCTGGTAGGAATGTAAACTTGTATAACCACTTTGGAAATCAATCTGACGCTTCTCAGACAATTAGGAATAGCTCTTCCTCAAGATCCAGCTATATCACTCCGAGGCATATAGCAAAAAGAGTCTCAAGTACACAACAAGGACATTTTCTCAACCATGTTTGTAGCAGCTTTTTTCATAATAGTCAGAACCTGGAAACAACCCAGATGTCCATCAACGGTGGAATGGATACAGAAATTGTGGTACTTTTACACAATGGAATACTACTAAGGAGTTAAAAAGAAGGAAATCATGAAATTTGCAAGCAAATGGTGGCATCTACAAAAAGATCTTTCTGAGTGAGGTATGCCAGAAGGAGAAAAACAAATGGTATATACTCATTTATAAGTGGGTACTAGACCTAAAAGATAGGATAAACATACTGAATTCTGTATACCTAAAGAAGCTAAATGAAAAAGAGGACCCAAAGTAAGATTATCAATCCTCACTCTACCTAGCAGTGTTTCAAAGCAGACACTAAGACTCATAACCAAATCCTCGGCAGAGTGCAGGAAATCATATGAAAGAAGGGGAGTTAGTATGATATGGAAAGGATAGGAGCTCTACAAGGACCAAATATATCTGGGCACAGGGTCTTTTCTGAGACTGACACTCAACCAAGGACCATCTATGGATATAACATAGAACTTCTGCTTGGATGTGGCCCGTGGTAGCTCAGTAACCAAGTAGTTTCCCAAAGTAAGGGGAACAAGGACTATGTCTAACAGGATCTCAAGGGCAGGCTCTTTGACCCCCCCCCCCCCCAGGGGAGGAGCAGTCCTGTTAGGCCACAGAGGAGGATTTTGCAGCCAGCCCTGAAGATACCTGATAAACAGGGTCAAATGAAAGGGGAGGATGTCCTCCCCTATCAGTGGACTTGGAAAGGGGCAGGGAGGAGACGAGGGAGGGAGTGTGGGGTTGGGGAGGGAATGAGGGAGCGGGATACAGCTGGGACACAGAGTTAGCAAAATGTAACTAATAAGAAAAATAAAATTAAAAAAAAAGAAAGACAAATGGGATGGACAGGGGAAGTAGGAGAAAACAAGTAACAGGACAGGAGCCTACCACTGAAGGTGTCTGAAAGACTTTACCTAGCAGCATATCAAAGCAGATGCTGAGACTCATAACCAAAACTTTGGCAGAGTATAAAAAATCATATGAAAGAAGGGGGAGTTAGTATGACCTGGAGAGGACAGGAGCCCCACAAGGACCAAATATATCTGGGCACAGTGGTCTTTTATGAGACTGAATGTAGAACCAAGGACCATGTATGGATATAACCTAGAACCCATGCCGAGATGTAGCCCATGGTAGTTGAGTATCCCAGTTGGTACCCTAGTAAGGGGAACAGGGAATATTTCTGACATGAACTCAATGACTGGCTCTTTGACCTCCCCCTCCTCCTAAGGAGGAGCATCCCTGCTAGGCCCCAGAGGAGGACTTTGCAGCCAGTCCTGAAGGTACCTGATAAAACAGGGTCAGATGAAAGGGGAGGAAGTCCTCCCCTATCAGTGGACTTGGAAAGGGGTACGGAGAAGATGAGGGAGGGTGGGTGGGATTGGGAGGGAATGATGAAGTAGGTCACAGCTGGGATACAAAGTTAATAAACTGTAACAAATATTAAAGAAATAAAAATAAATTTTAAAAAGAAGACATCAGTGGTAGACTCCTATCCTGTTTTCTCACTTCTACTGCTTCTGGTGTCTATCTGTTTTCTTTTCTGAATGAGAATTGAGCATCTTCCCTAGGGTCCTCCTTGTTGTTTGGCTTCTTTAGGTCTGTAGATTTTAGTATGTTTATCCCTAATGTAATCCACTATATAAACAAACTGAAAGGAAAAAAAAAAACAGCACATAATAATCTCTTTAGATGCTGAAAAAAACATTTGACAAAATCCAACACCTGTTTATGTTTAAAGTCTTGGAGAAATCAGGTCTACAAGGCACATACCTAAACATAGTAAAGACAATATACAACAAACCTATAGCCAACATCAAACTCAATGGAGAGAAACTTAAATCAATTCCACTGAAATCAGGGACAAGGCAAGGCTGTCCACTCTCCATATCTCTTCAACACAGTACTTGAAGTCCTAGCTAGAGCAGTAAGACAATTAAAGGAGATAATGGGTATACAAATCAGAAAGGAAGAAGTCAAAGTATCATTATTCCCCTATGATATTGCTATATACATGAGTGACCCCAAAAATTCTGCCAGAGAACTCCTTCAGCTGATAAACACCTTCAGCAAAGTGGCTGGATGAAAAATTAACTAAAAAAAAGTAGCCCTTCTGTAGGCAAAATTAAAAAATGACTGAGAAATAAATTAGGCAAACAACACCCTTTTACAGTAGACACAAATAACATAAAGTACCTTGGAGTGACTCATATCAAGCAAGTGAAAGAACAAGTGATTAATGACAATGATGTTGGAGCAGACTGTACCATCTAAAAAGGTAGAGAAACTTCTGAATAAACAGAAAACAGACACAGATGAGATGTGTTGATTACATACCATATGATGAAGAATCCTTTGTTTGTATACTACTTGAGAATGTACTTTACATCAAGCATCAGAAGCTAAGAAACTAAAAAAAAATAAAAATAAAGTAAACAAAGTCTATTTCTTCAACGGTCTTGTAATCTAGTGTGTCATTTTGATTATATCTAGAAGCACATGGTATGTGAAATAAATTGAGTTTTAGACATGATGACATACAGATTTAAACTTTTATCTACAAAAGGCTTCTTTGACCAAATTAATGAAGATTGATAAACAGTACAAAGGACTCTTATCAGATTAATAATTTGCATTTTTGGCTTCATAATAGAGTCATTAAGGAGAGCTTTCAAAGATGCTATTGCCTTGATTCCATCCCAAACCAAATAATCCAGAACCTTTGGAACTAGGTCCCAGACACTGGTATTTTTTTAAGTACCCAGGTAATTCAAATGTTTAGAGAAATTTATGATCTATCAGTTAGAGAAAACGAAATGTACTTTTACTTAATGAAGTCGAAGGAAGAAGTAGTCAGGTGATAGAGACTTTAGAAGAACAATTAATGAGGTTGAGAATTTGTATGACTCAGCTTTTCTTGCTCAAAAGAGAGGAAGTAAGTGGAACTGAGATGGATTGTAGGTTTTCCCATAAAAGACTAAAGAGAATAACAGATGTGTCAGGAGTTAGGCAAAGGAAGGGTGATGGCATGCTAGATTTTGGATATGTTGACCCCTTCAAAGTGATTTATTAAGCATTTGACTCTGTAGACTTCAGGAGATTGCTTAACACAGAGATCTGAGTGAGCTCCCACAAGAGGTAGTAAAGGAAACAGTATATGTAAATGAATTCCCCAGGGAGGCTATATCAATGAAGGGTAAATTATAGAGAGACCCCAATATTTAAATATTTAAAGGGTGGACAGAGCAATCTGAGAAGTGGCCAAAGTGTTAGAACAAAACGAAAACATGATTCCATTCTCTTAAACAAAAGAGAAGGCTTAAGAAGCCTTTGTCAGTGATGATACATAATAAAGAGTCCTTATTGAAAATATATGTACACTCCACGGGCTCCAGTGCTGCAGCAACTTGAATGTTGCTGCTATCATCAGCAAAAGTAGTGTCAGATGAAAAAATCAATTTGCATTGGATGGGAATATCACCTGGTAAATCATTGTGGGAACTCTGGTAGAGACTAGTGCTTCTCAGCCTTTAACATGAATATTAAATCACC